CAAAAAAAATCCCCCAAATTTAAACCCTGGGAGTTATTTATCAAAATCTACCACTTGGTGGCGCCCTATACCCAGACAATTAGTTGTAGAAATTGGCAACAAACACACTCAGCATAACACCAAATTAGATGGTAGGCTATGAATATAAGCCTGATTATTAGATGCAGTACTGTAAAGTATAATGCTCTCATTCACCACAAACAAGTACAGACCAACATTTGACATGATCAGTAGTTTTAATTAATTTCTAGAAATAATACATAGAATTATGACAATTAAAGGTAGTTTATCACTATAATTATGAAAAAAAAAGATTCTACTGAATCAAACGTCTCAATTCATTAGCTCATTATTTCTCCAATTAATTAAAAACAAAAAAACAATTCCACGGTATCTGCATTTAGGCCGGAGACCTGTGACGGGCAACCTCGTATATACCAAAACACAACAGTGGTTTGATTTACCATGGAAACACATAGAATTTGCTCAACATCAAAAGCTTAATCAAATCTTATGTGAAGAAAAGTAGTTCAACGAAACAATTTTATGATTTAAAAATAAATAAAAATAAAAAATATACAAACCAGAAAAGGGTCTAAATATAAAATACTCATGTTACACATCCCTGATCAAATTAAATTCAAATCAACAGCATTTCTGATTAATTTAGGGGGAGGGGGAGGTACAAGCACTGTTCAATAATAAACTCAAGATGGGATTAATTAGCAAACTATTCACAAAAATTCTGAGAAAAGAGCAATAATTGTGAAATTGAAAGAGTTGTAACACTTGACTAATATACTGACAGTATGCAAATCTCTTGTCAGTGACAAGATACATAACACAATTTTGCGAATTTATTTGAATATTTGGGAGTTTTACCTCATTAAACTTTGAATAGGGTACATTAGAAATGACCACACTACAAATTGTTAAGATTGCCTGCCATAAAGTGAAAATAAAACAAAAAACCCATAAAATGGGGTTAAGCATTTTTCTCAGAATTCCTAGAGCCATTGAAATTACTGGTGACATGAATAATTCATTGATGAATGAATACAATTTTTGGACCAGTTTAATAAAAACATTTATATTTACAGACCACAGCCCAACTTAAATCAAGTTAATAAGATTAGGGCAAAAAAAATACCAAATTACAAATTTTCAAAATCTTCAACCAAGATATAAGAGATTGACAGAAATGGGTGAAACGCATAGCAAAATATGACATTTCTGGATAAAAAA